AAACAAAATCACTTGCACTATGAACATAATGTACTAGAATCTACATTTAAATGTAATCTACATTTAAAATTGCTTTAGTTTTTTTTTCAATTGAGTAACAGTTCTGTGTAATTGAGATGGGTTTGTCAATATTTTTCCTGAAGTGCTTTGCCAGTACTGTGTGGTTTCCCCTAAGAGGAAAAAAAAAACATTTACTTTGCAAATGATTGAACTCATTTATAGTTCTTTTGCTCTATGACTATGTCTCTAGCAAAAATATTCTATAATGATTTTGAGTTGAGTTTTTTGAAAATCTAAAGTTGTGTGTGAGAGGTAGGTTTAAGGTAGGGGGATAGAAAATACAGTTTGCACAATATTTGCACAGTAACTTTCAGAAACGTCCCACTCAATGAATCGCTTACGCTGGCAACAATTGAACTGACTCGTTGACTCAGACACTGTCCGTTCATTTCAATTTTATTTTTGAATTGTTTTAAATACAATTATATATATATTTTTTTTTTATTTAATAATTTATTTAACTGTGGAATGTCCCCATGTTTTTTTTTTTTGTTTTTTTTTAGAAAAACCAGTATAAGCTTATAAGTGTTACTGAGTCGTTTTGCCAGCACATTAACCCCAGAGAGTAAGTTAAGTAGAAGATGTGGTGGCCTAAACCTTGTGAAAATGTGTGAAAATATGTTTCCTGAGTGCAGTAAATTATTTGTGTTTCTGTGGACAAAATTAATGCTTTTGTCTAGACTTAAGCCACAAAGCATCATGTGACCGAACGGGTGCAAGAAAGAGGCATTACAAATTAACATTTTTTTTTATTATTTCATCTTATCTAGGTGACTCTTTTTGCAATTTTCCACATATTATACACTGAGCCCCATGTTTTTTTTTGTTTTTTTGTTTTTAGAAAAAACAGTATAAGCTTATAAGTGTTACTGAGTCGTTTTGCCAGCACATTAACCCCAGAGAGTAAGTTAAGTAGAAGATGTGGTGGCCTAAACCTTGTGAAAATGTGTGAAAATATGTTTCCTGAGTGCAGTAAATTATTTGTGTTTCTGTGGACAAAATTAATGCTTTTGTCTAGACTTAAGCCACAAAGCATCATGTGACCGAACGGGTGCAAGAAAGAGGCATTACAAATTAACATTTTTTTTTATTATTTCATCTTATCTAGGTGACTCTTTTTGCAATTTTCCACATATTATACACTGAGCTACAAATTGTACAAAAAAAAAAAAAAAAACAAGGGGGAAGTTCTCATCTAATATTGTATACAAACCTTTCAGTTTTATTAAAACATTCCCTTTGTTATGTCTTTGTTGTGTGAATCCTCTTTCACAATTACTTTCTCCACAAATTTAAAAGACACAGTGTTTTTTAATGTTGTGGAGAAAGTAATTGTGAAAGAAGAGTCACAATCAAACCGAGAGTAGCCTAGCTTATCTATGCAGGGGAATGATGTTCATGAGAATGTTTGTGGCATAACATTCTCACCGGGGTTCTTATGTCAATTTTTAAAATGTGGTCTGTGAGGGCAGTTGTAAAATGTGAACATAAAAGTAAAGAATAGGTCATAACCTATTTTTTCTTAGCAAAAACATGTGACATTGATGTGCTGGGGTAAAGTGGCAGCTGTTTTTGTTGACTGCACATAAAGCAAGTAAGTAAAGTTAATGAAGCCTGGTCAGTTAATTAATTTGTTTTTATACATTTTTTTATGCTGATGGAATGTACAGCTTTAGTGATAATGGGCACCCTTCAGTAAACTTAAATCTGATGATTTAAAAAAAAAACTAAGTGCCATACCTACAAGAAAACAATGAACCATCGAACTTTCAGAAACATCCCACTCATTTACTGAAATGAATCACTTACGCTGACAACAATTGAACTGACTCATTGACTCAGACACTGACCGTTCATTTCAATTTTATTTGTGAATTGTTTTAAATACAATTATATATTTTTTATTTTAT